TGAGGGGCAGAGCCTGGCACTTGTCCCCGCGCCAGGTTTGCCACCAAGGAGCGGGACGGGCTCCTGCTCTACAACGGGCGCTTCAACGAGAAGCACGACTTCGTGGCGCTGGAGATCGTGGGGGAGCAGGTCCAGCTCACCTTCTCGGCAGGTACGGGCACCGCGCCCCGACGCGCCCCGACGCGGCATCCCCGGCATGTGCCCGCGGGCAACGCAGCCCCGGCACCGCCTGCCCGGCACCGCATCCCGTCCTGCGCCTCCCTGGCTCCTCATCCCGGGCTTGGCATCCCATCCCATCCCACACATCCCTGGCACTGCCTGGCACTGCATCCCTGGCACCGCCTCCTGGGCACTGCATCCCATCCCATACATCCCTGGCACCGCATCCCTGGCACCGCCTCCCCTGGCACCACATCCCGTCCTGCACGTCCCTGACTCCTCATCCCGGGCTTCCCATCCCATCCCATCCCATCCCATCCCATCCCATCCCATCCCATCCCATACATCCCTGGCACTGCCTGGCACTGCCTGGCACTGCCTCCTGGGCACTGCATCCCAACCCGTACATCCCTGGCACTGCCTCCTGGGCACTGCATCCCATCCTGTACGTCTCTGGCACTGCCTGGCACCACCTCCCGGGCACCCCGTCCCATCTTGCACTTCCCTGGTGCTGCATCCCGTCCCTGGCTCCTCATCCCGGGCTTGGCGTCCCATCCCACACATCCCTGGCACTGCCTGGCACCGCCTCCCGGGCACTGCATCCCTGGCACTGCACCCTGGGCACTGCATCCCATCCTGTACATCCTGGGCACCACCTGGCACCGCATCCCTGGCACAGCCTCCCGGGCACCACATCCCATCCTGCACGTCCCCGGCTCCTCATCCCAGGCTTGGCATCCCATCCCATACATCCTGTGCACTGTATCCCGGGCTTGGCATCCCGTGCTGTACATCCCTGGCACTGCCTGGCACTGCATCCTGGGCTTGGCGTCACATCCCGTACATCCTGGGCACTGCCTGGCACCGCCTCCCCTGGGACTGCATCCCATCCTGCACGTCCCTGGCTCCTCATCCCGGGCTTGGCATCCCGTGCTGTACATCCCTGGCACTGCCTGGCACTGCCTCCTGGGCACTGCATCCCTGGCACTGCCTGGCACTGCCTCCTGGGCACTGCATCCCTGGCACTGCCTGGCACTGCCTCCTGGGCACTGCATCCCTGGCACTGCCTGGCACTGCCTCCTGGGCACTGCATCCCTGGCACTGCCTGGCACTGCCTCCTGGGCACTGCATCCCTGGCACTAGATCCCTGGCACTGCATCCCGGGCATCCTATCCCTAGCACTAGATCCCTGGCACGGCATTCCTGGCACGGCATCCCGGGCACTGCATCCCGGGCATCCCATCCCTGGCACTAGATCCCTGGCACTGCATCCCGGGCTTGGCTTCCCACCCTGTACACCCCTGGCACTGCCTCCCGAGCACTGCATCCCTGGCACCACCTGCCCTGGCACCACATCCCATCCTGCACGTCCCTGGATCCTCATCCCAGGCTTGGCATCCCATCCCATCCCATCCCATCCCATCCCACACATCCCTGGCACTGCCTGGCACTGCATCCCTGGCACCACCTCCCCTGGCACTGCATCCCGGGCTTGGCTTCCCACCCTGCACACCCCTGGCACTGCACCCTGGGCACTGCAGCCCATCCCACACATCCCGGGCACTGCCTGGCACCACCTCCCAGGCACCCTGTCCCATCCTGCACTTCCCTGGCACTGCATGCCAGGCTTGGCATCCCATCCCATACATCCTGGGCACTGTATCCCAGGCTTGGCATCCCGTGCTGTACATCCCTGGCACTGCATCCCGGGCATCCCATCCCTGGCACTAGATCCCTGGCACTGCATCCCGGGCATCCCATCCCTGGCACTAGATCCCTGGCACTGCATCCCGGGCATCCCATCCCTGGCACTAGATCCCTGGCACTGCATCCCGGGCATCCTATCCCTGGCACTGGATCCCTGGCATGGCATCCCTGGCACTAGATCCCTGGCACTTCATGCCGGGCATCCCATCCCTGGCACTAGATCCCTGGCACTGCATCCCTGGCACTGCACAACGGGCACCCCGTCCCACCCTGCACACCCCTGGCGCTGCATCCCAGGCTTGGCATCCCATCCCATACATCCCTGGCACTGCCTGGCACTGCATCCCTGGCACCGCCTCCCGGGCACCACATCCCATCCTGCACGTCCCTGGCTCCTCATCCTGGGCTTGGCATGCCATTCCACACATCCCTGACACTGCCTGGTACCGCCTCCCAGGCACTGCATTCCTGGCACTGCATCCCGGGCTTGGCATCCCATCCCGTACATCCCAGGCACTGCCTGGCACTGCGTCCCTGGCACCACCTCCCCTGGCACCACATCCCATCCTGCACATCCCTGGCTCCTCATCCCAGGCTTGTCATCCCATCCCATCCCACACATCCCTGGCACTGCCTGGCACCGCCTCCTGGGCACTGCATCCCATCCTGCACACCCCTGGCTCCTCATCCCAGGCTTGGCATCCCATCCCGTACATCCTGGGCACTGTATCCCGGGCTTGGCATCCCGTGCTGTACATCCCAGGCACTGCCTGGCACTTTCCTCTGGGCACTGCATCCCTGGCACTGCATCCTGGGCACTGCATCCCATCCTGCACACCCCTGGCTCCTCATCCCGGGCTTGGCATCCCATCCCGTACATCCTGGGCACTGTATCCCGGGCTTGGCATCCCGTGCTGTACATCCCAGGCACTGCCTGGCACTTTCCTCTGGGCACTGCATCCCTGGCACTGCATCCTGGGCACTGCATCCCATCCTGCCCATCCCTGGCACTGCCTGGCACCGCCTCCTGGGCACCCCGTCCCTTCCATCCTGGGCACTGTATCCCGGGCTTGGCATCCCGTGCTGTACATCCCTGGCACTGCTGGGGACTGCCTGGTACCACCTTCCAGGCACTGCATCCCTGGCAGCGCATCCCGTGCTGTACATCCCTGGCACAGCGCCCTGGGTATCACATCCCTGGCACACGACCCGAGTATTGCATCCCTGGCACTAGATCCTTGGCACTGCATCCCGGGCCTTAAATCCCTGGCACTGCCTGGCACTGCATCCCGGGCATCCCATCCCTGGCACTGCATCCCTGGCACTAGATCCCTGGCACTGCCTCCTGGGCATCCCATTCCTGGCACTAGATCCCTGGCACTGCATCCCAGGCATCCCATTCCTGGCACTAGATCCCTGGCACTGCATCCCTGGCACTAGATCCCTGGCTGGCACTGCATCCCAGGCATCCCATCCCTGGCACTGCATCCCTGGCACTAGATCCCTGGCACTGCCTCCTGGGCATCCCATCACTGGCACTAGATCCCTGGCACTGCATCCAGGGCATCCCATCCCTGGCACTGCATCCCTGGCACTAGATCCCTGGCATCCCATCCCTGACACTCGATCCCTGGCACTAGATCCCTGGCACTGCATCCCTGGCATCCCATTCCTGGCACTAGATCCCTGGCACTGCATCCTGGGCATCCCATCCCTGGCACTGGATCCCTGGCACTAGATCCCTGGCACTAGATCCCTGGCATTGCATCCCTGCCAGTAGATCCCTGGCATCCCATCCCTGGCACTAGATCCCTGGCACTGCATCCCTGGCACTGCATCCCTGGCATCCCATCCCTGGCATCCCATCCCTGGCACTCGATTCCTGGCACTGCATCTGGGCATCCCATGCCTGCCACTAGATCCCTGGCACTAGATCCCTGGCACTAGGTCCTTGGCTGGCACTACATCCTGGGCATCCCATCCCTGGCACTAGACCCCTGGCACTAGATACCGGGCATCCCATCCTTACCACTAGATCCCTGGCACTAGATCCTTGGCTGGCACTGCATCCCAGGCATCCCATCCCTGGCATCCCATCCCTGGCACTAGATCCCTGGCACTAGATCCCTGGCACTAGATCCCTGGCATTGCATCCCTGCCAGTAGATCCCTGGCATCCCATCCCTGGCACTAGATCCCTGGCACTGCATCCCTGGCACTGCATCCTGGGCACTGCATCCCATCC